CTCTCGAGAGAGAGAGAGAGAGAGAGAGAGAGAGAGAGAGAATATTGTAGACAAAAACACCCACACTATTTAAATATCAAGTCAATAACTGATTACAATTATTCATTATATTTCATGTACAGTGTCTACACTTTTAGATTATACGCTTTGTCTATTAAGCAATAGTTAAAATATTAATTAAATTTGTATTTTTGTAAAGTAAACTAAATTTAATGACTAACAAAGAGCAACATCTGCAAAATAAATGCACTTATTTATGAAATTAATTCATTCAAATGAAATGCAATAATAAATTTCATAATATAAATGTTTACAGAATATAGTATTTATCGGCAAATACTTTGTTACATAAGAAATGAGGGCTAATATGGGTTTTGGGATAATAAGCTGAAAGTGTGTTAAACACTCATTGACTCTAATATGAACTCAAATGCAAATATAATTAATTAAATAATTTAGTTTTTGTAACGCTTAATAGCAAACACTTTTAGGCTTTATTATGAATAAACATTTTAGCGATTCTTGAATAAATTCTTTGTGACATAATTTTGTATATTCCTATATCATGTGTGTAATTGAAATGTTTACTGATTTACAGGCAAAGCTGTTCCCTTCGTGGAGATGGTTGTCGCCCACTCATCCATACTTACCATATCCGCCATCAGTTTTGAAAGAGTAAGTCTTAAAATATATTTTTTCATATTTAAAAAATAATTCAATCAATTATTCATATGCTTTTTGTGTGAACAGTATTATGCAATTTGCAAACCACTAAAAGCTGGTTACAAATGTACTAAACTTAGAGCGTAAGTCTATTATACGATTTGGATGTTTGTATATATATTTAACGTTGTTTTGCTATTTGAACAATAGTTTGATAATAATAGCGATCGTATGGATTATCGCAATCTTGTCGACGACACCGATGTTATACATAACAGAGCTGTCGTTAGCGGAATACGTCGACGGGAGTATAGTTCCCGTTTGCCTGAGCCGTGTGAAGGGATTACTGGAAACATTATATTTTTTCATTATATTGGTTACATTCTTCGCTCTGCCATTCCTAATACTGATAGTACTCTATGGGCTGATCGCCAAGAATCTGGTGATGGATTCACGACTAGTCTGTTCCACATCTGAAGAATACCAGATGAGGCTTCGGAAACAAGTGGTGTTTATGTTGGCCGCAGTTATGCTCAACTTTTTCATTTGTTTGCTACCATTTCGTATATTTTCGCTTTGGATTCTCGTTGTGCCGCAGGAAAGGCTTAATGAGCTCGGGATGGAAAGTATGTATTGATCCGATGTTTACTCGCGATCACATCTTATTTATTACTAGAGTAGGAAACAGTTAACCCATTGAGACGTTACTAATTAATAGACTAGAAAATACATTATATGCTTGACATTGAATTCTAGACAAAAAGTCAAATTATCAAGTCTTGTGTTAATATAAAAGTTGTGCCTCACTTGTTTTTCAACATATTTATTCACTATTCAAATAATAACATGTTAGTTTTAATGACAATTGAATAAAAACGTCACCAAAAAAGTTTTAATTCAATTTTATTAATTAAAAAAGTTTATTAAACAAACAAATGTTGTTACTATACAATATACAGTAATTGGTAAACATCTAAAGTCAATAATCATGTTATAAATTATGAAATGTTAGTTTTTATAATGACTAATGTAAACCCATTTCTACTCAAAATTATGCTGTTTTCTTAGTTAGTGTAAAGTTATGTAAAGTTAAAGTTATGTACAATTTGATGTCATCTCATATTACAATGAATTACAATACAAATATAGAGTATATTATCCATGAAATAAAACATTTGGAAAATTAAAGTATGTTTTTCCGTATTTCTCAATGCAGGTTATTATAATCTTCTATACTTTTGCCGAATATTGCTTTACATAAACAGGTAATAAATGCATTGAAAATGTGTTATAATGTAGATATAAAGATGAGTGTTATTGTCTGTGTTTTTAGCGCAACAAATCCTATCCTTTACAACATCTGCAGCTCTAACTTTCGGAGAGGTTTTTGTCACACTTTAGGGATTAGAAAGATTCACAAACGGCTGATGAGAAGAAAAGGTACATCTGTTCACACGTCCATCACTTTAGGGAACAGCAGTGTTAAGAGCAGATCAACTCATTCTTCTAATAACAATAATAATAATAATAATAATAATAGCATTACTATTAATAACAGTATCGGCAGTAATGACTGCACGGCTTCTACGCTAAACCAAACAGAAAAGACAAACTATAAGTCAAACAGTATTGGTATTCATATTCAAAAAGTTGTCAATACATTGATTACTGTTCAACGAAACGGACACCGAGTCTAATCATCACAAGTCATATATTTTCTATTATTTTAATTAATATTTATTTTTGCTTTAAAATTTCTATAATTATTATTTTATTCTTAAGTTTGTATTAATATTTGCATAAAATGCTGTATATTTGGCTACAATATATGAAATATATAATATATAACTTATTCTTATATATAAATACAAAGAATTCGTACAAATATATTCACATCTCTCGTATATATTACAGAATTTCAAAGCATATATTATAAGATATATAAAAAGCTACACATTTGGAAATGCTGTACAAATACAATATTCAGTATATTCTATATTATATTCTAATACAATATTTGTGTTCATAAAATATAAATATATATTCTTGAATATTAACGAGTATTCTATATACGGTATATAAACATATTTTGAAGTTTAATGTAATATTTATAAATCAAAATCATATTTTCATCTGTAAATATAAAAATAAAGGTATTATTTGTTAATGTTTAAGATATACAAGTCTATCAATTCTGTCATTTTGTAATCACAACCAAACTCTGTCCCAAGCATTAGCCAAATTTTGTCAGCACACTATTTCATAAATGAAACAATATTTACATTAATCTATTATTTATATGAGAGAGCGAGTGAGTAGAGAATTTTTAAATCTCGTTTTCAAATTAATGATGGTCTTAGTATGCTGAATAAATATTTTAAAAATATTTAATAATAATTTATAAATGTTCTTTACACTAACGTCTAGACAATGATGACATAAATGGTATTTCTTATAAAAATAGGTAAACTCCAAATGAGAACCAAAATTATTTATACCATCTATTGGTTAGAGTTTGGATGTAAAGCACTCTCTATTAATTGCTCTTCATTTAAATAATCCTTTTAAATGCTATACTCTATAAATATACCTAAATTCAGTGATACCTAAGCTGTCAATTGGAGAATAAAGATTACATTCAAGCACTCAATTATTGCGATAATAATAGCGGCACTGTTTAAGTACACAATCACTCGATTACTATCAGCGCTAGTAATTAATAAATAGAAAAATTAATAATTCATTCAAATATACACTTTCTTATGATTAGTGAGAAGAGAGAGAGAGAGAGAGAGAGAGAGAGAGAGAATTTTTAAATCTCGTTGTTAAATTAATGATGGTCTTATTATGCTCAATAAATATTTTAAAAAATATTTAATAATAATTTATAAATGTTCTTTACACTAACAATGACGACAATGATGACATAAATGATATTTCTGGTAAAAATAGGTAAACTCCAAATGAGAACCAAATGGTTACCAAAATTATTTATTTCATCTATTGGTTAGAGTTTGGATGTAAAGCACTCTCTATTAATTGCTCTCCATTTAAATAATCCTTTTAAATGCTATACTCTATAAATATACCCAAATTCAGTGATACCTAAGCTGTCAATTGGAGACTAAAGATTACATTCAAGCACTCAATTATTGCGATAATAATAGCGGCACTGTTTAAGTACACAATCACTCGATTACTATCAGCGCTAGTAATTAATAAATAGAAAAATTAATAATTCATTCAAATATACACTTTCTTATGATTAGTGAGGATTGTATTCATTGCTAAGCTATAATTAAGACTGAAATTTGATTCGTATATAAAAACAACATTAATTACACGTCAATTAAACAACAGTTAAATCTCATTTGCAATTAAAGCAATAAATTTATTACAAGACTTTATTCCGCTATAAATAAATGATATAAATAAATAAAACTTTAATTTTTAGATAAAGTTTACAAAAAACACAATTGAAAGTAAATTTATATTAAAAGATGGCATAAAAATGTAATCCAAATAAAGAAATCCGCGGAAAAAGAGATAATAAAGTGAAACGAAAAAACCAAATCCAATGCCATAACAAGTCAGGCCTCGGTCTCGCCGGTGGCGGCAGTGGTGTCGAGACCAACGATGGGAACAATGAGGTTGTCTTTGGACATGAGATTGTATTTAATGACAAAAGCGGTGAAACGTTTGCAGAGAAACATCTGATTCTCGAACTCATCGAAGAGTGTCTTGTGATGGAAGAAGGCGTGACTGAAGATGCGATACACGCGACGGCACACCGAACCGAGTTTGGCCACCGATGACTCCTTGATGGTCACCCGACTCGGGAAGTACTTATTCGAGTTGAGAAGACAGGCGGCGCCGTCCAGCGTATGGCGCGTGTAGTCAATCGCCGGACACTCTTTGGGCGTCTTATGGGCGGCGCATAAGAAGATCCACTGCTCGGTGGCCGTCATCTGAGTGCACGTCTGAGCCGAGCATTCGGTCTGCAATTTGACGGCCAATCGGTTGAGTTCGAGACAAAACTGTCTCAAGTGCTCGTACTTCCAGCCGCCCTCTTCCTGGCCCTCCGGAGCCGATAGGATCTCATCTATATTTGACGGATCCCTACGAATGGTCTGTTGGATGAACTGCTGGACAGCTATTGTGGAGTCCATCTCTTCAAACGGCTCGTCAGACCACCGGTAGAACTCTTCCGACAGACAGCCCTTACGGTTGCGCCGATTGATGGCCGAAGTCTCACACATTGTCCACTTCCTGTTGTCCTCTTCTTCGGCCAAAACTGTCGCTTCAATTGATCCAAACGATCGCTTCAATCACTTCACGATGTCTTCACTGGTGTTGGCGTTCACTTCACTCGCAAATGGATGTCCAATGAGTTGACCATAAATTACGGCCAAATATATAGTGTTTTGTTTGGGTTTAAAAAGCGGACAAAAAAACACATGACTTTTGAATCAACAAAACGATTGAATCGTTGACTGAATTAACGTTTGGTTTGATTTGACTTTTTGTCCCAAAACTAACCATAAGTTTGCCTTTAATTCAATGCAAACTCAAAGCGTGTCTCATATATGAAGCGAAACAACACTTTTTTGGGCACTTTTGACGGTTTTGTTGAGATTTTTTGTGTCCAAAACTTTTTCGCTTGAATTTTCATTTGTATTGATTGCGAAACACATCCGAAGAAAATGTCAATTTGTGGTACATTTGAGACAATTGTCACCAAATGTCACATCAGAGCCATCAGTGTTGAGAAGGACTTCCTATTCGTGGGTCAGTATATCTTATTTGCCATCACTTTATATCAAGTGATGTATCAATTGATTTAACCATTGATTTTAATGTCTCGTCTGTGTGTTTGTCAGGCATGGGATCAACTCTTCACATCTTGAAGACCACGCAAAACGGTTTTGAGAAATCAGTTTTAAATCAAATTGTGTTCAAAACACATGTTATTAACGGCATTAAGACTTTCGTCAACTCTAAGAGCGATTCCAATATCGAGATAATTGTCTCGATTTATGGCAATCGGTTTCTCAGTATTTATAAGTTTTCATACAATTATGGAAATGAAAAGTTTGTATTGAATTGTTTACTCGATTGCCATAACTTTTACGATTGGAT